ACGACGCTCATATATTAATGACACACAAGCACAGTGAGTTTGAACCAGAACTGGCTGACTCAGAACCATTAATGAATCATTCTAATGTACAGTAGAGTACAGTAGAGATGCAGCTGTGTGTGTTGAGTGTACACTTATTCATTGAAGGGATAGTTCACCCAAAAATACACATCTATTTACCCTTATGTTATTTCAAAACTGTATGACTCCTCTCGTGTTAATTAGGTTAATTATCTGAACGAGCTCCTCCCGAACTTTGTTAATAAAACATCGTGTCAAAATTATCGATTTCTCTTTTATGCCAAAAATCATTAGGATATTAAGTAAAGATCATGTTCCATGAAGATATTTCCTACCGTAAATATATCTAAACTTAATGTTTGATTAGTAATATGCATTGCTAAGAACTTCATTTGAACAACTTTAAAGATGATTTTCTCAATATTTAGATTTTTTTGCACCCTCAGATTCCAGATTTTCAAATAGTTGTATCTCAGCCAAATATTGTCCGATCCTAACAAACCATACATCAATGGAAAGATTATTTATTCAGCTTTCAGCTGATCTATCACCCTTATGACTGTTGTTGGTGCAGGGTCACAAATAAGGTCATACACGACATGAGGGAGAATGAATGATGACAGAATGATAATTATTGGGCGAATGTCTTAATGCATTAAAACATTTAAAAAAAATACCAAACTCAATAAACATCATTAGGTAATAAATCATAGAATGTGCACAGAAGCAGATATGAGCCCATAGTACGAAAGCAACGTGTTTAATTGCACGTTAAGCATTTATTCCTCCCACAGAAAACTGCTAGGAAAACGCTTAATGTGGCTTAATGCATTAAAATAGTGTTTTTAAATGACCAAACTCAGTAAACACATTATTAAAATGGTGACGAAAAATGCGTCAAATGGAGCAGGGGCGGATTTAGTGATTTGGGGGCCCCAGGCAAAATATATGAATGGGGCCCTATGTATTTGCACACATTTACAAATTTAGCCTTGAGGTTCCTTTTTTGTTGTGATGCTTGCTGCTGCTCAATGGTGCCCCACAGTTGTGTCCAATGCTTCTACATTTTTCATGTACATGTTATAATGGCTTTCTTTCATGTTGACCACGACATAGCGATTGATTTACAGTTTTCACAAAAACAAAATAAATTATAAAATGATAAACCTCACAATTGAGCCTTTTTAAGAAAAGAGATGAGACGGAAGTATAAATTGTGATATTAATTTAAAACGGGGTTATGTGGGTGGATTTTTCGCATTGGTCTGAACAAAAACTGCAGACGGGATTATTGAAAATGCAGATTGATTCTCTGCCAGCAGGAGGCGCTTTTGGAACATCAGAAATACAGTGGTTTCCCCGGTAACGACTGTAAACAAAGCAGCGCTGCTCATGAACGCTACTTTATCAGATACAATGAAAATGCTATGGAACGTTTTCTGAAGACAGTCGGTTCCCTTCAGAGATACAGTCATATAAAACCTTGAAATAGTGAGAATGAGAATATATAGCCTATATTGAGGAGGAAAGTCCACTGATGAGTTACCTGCGTAAGCCTGTGTGCAACGGATGTCTAATTCTAAACTTTAAAATACATTTATGGACACACAGACGGTTGTCGTGGTGATAAACACTGTAAACGGCAACCGTTCGCGTGTCCGCGCTTAATGCGCATCTCGTAGATAAAAAGCATTTTAGGGGGCCCTTGGCTTTTGGGGGCCCAAGGCGGTTGCCTACCTTTGCCTAATGGGTAAGTCCGCCTCAGAATTGGAGTGAAGAAGAGTTGAATTATTACCTTATAGTCGGAAACGTCAATTCAGGAAAAACCAATGAGCCGTTATGTAAGCAGGTCACGTGCTGATTTCATCCAATCAGAGTCTAACACCTCAAATATGCAAATAAGAACGTGTTTCTAACCTAGGATTAATTGTTAACCCAGTGTAAATTATGATCATCATCAGTGTGAAGCACGATAACCAGGGATTTCTGTTTAGAATGACCCAGGGTTAACTAGTTTTAAAAATTCAGTTATATGTCCACAGGTACAGGATAATCATCTGCACTCACATTTGCATGACCTTATGCATCAATATATATATCAATATGTGCTTTTTAAAATCATTTTCATAGGTTTAACATTATATTATCAGCTCAGAAATTGTTAATTTGACTAGGAACACTGGAAATGTAAAGCATCGTTTCAGTCGGACTTCCCGCGTGCAGGAAAAAAGGTGGATAATGAAGAATGAGATTTTTTAAATATAAATTAATTGTGGTGTTTCTGGTAAAATTATAGTATGTTTATAGTAGAACTGTAGTAAAATTATGATAGTTAAGTACCTGTGGATGAGGGGTCTTTAGCTGCTTCATTAGATAACCCCACTTCTAAATTTAAAGTGAAAATACACCTTTACCAGGTTTAAAAGTGGAGTTTAGAATAACAGATAACCCGTTCTTTCAGACGAATCCAGTCGGAGTTATATAAAAAATTGTCTTTGATCTTTCAAGCTCTATCACTGTACTCAGCGGGTGTTGCATGCATCAGTCCAAAAGAAGTTAAATAAAAAGCACCCATCCTTAAAAAGTGTCTCACACGGCTCCGGGGGGGTGAACAAAGGTATTCTGTAGCGAATCTATGCGTTTTTGTAAGAAAAATATCCATATTCAAAACGCAAAAGTGTCTCACACGGCTCCGGGGGGGGTGAACAAAGGTATTCTGTAGTGAATCGATGCGTTTTTGTAAGAAAAATATCCATATTCAAAACGTAATAATCACTTTAATGTAGCTTGCGCTCACTGTTGTACACAGAAGCAGCTCCGGGCGGATGACGTATGAGGTCAGCGCTGCGAAATTTTCATTTTTGGGTGAATGAACCCTTTAAGCACAGTGTGAAAAGCTCTATTGTTAGATTTAGTTAGTTAAATATGCTACAGAACTGGTTACTGAACTGATAATATTCAGTTTGGTTCCTGATTCTTTCCCGCCTCAGATTTGCTCATTCTGTGTTTGTTTGGTAATAAATCAGCTCTCGTGATGTTTCGGACCCTTTAAGCACACAGAACTGGTTACTGAACTGATAATATTCAGTTTGGTTCCTGATTCTTTCCCGCCTCAGATTTGCTCATTCTGTGTTTGTTTGGTAATAAATCAGCTCTCGTGATGTTTGTAATTGGCTATTAGCTCTTCACAGGAGGAGCATACAATAACTCTCTCACACACACACACACACGGAAAACAGCTCCACACATCACATCATTTAAAGAGAATTTATTTGTTGATTTTCACAGAGATACTAAACTGTTGGCAGCGTGTTCATGACAAAGATGCACGTCTGAACAGATTCTCACGAGTCAAACGCCTCTCAAACACACACAGATCCTGATGAACATGTTTCCACCGGTCTAAAAATCACTGTGATGTTTGACTAATAAAGGCTTGATAATAAAGAGATACTCTGACTCTCTCAAAAACACTTGAACGGGTCAATAAAGCTCATCATAAATCTCTGTTAATATTCATCTGCAAAATAGACCTGCTCTGAAGAGCAACAGTATTTTGTTTAAAACAATCAAATACAAACAAACTCACTTATATACAAACTCATACAAACATAAGAACACCGTGACGAATAATCACATGGTTTCTGTATAAATTATGATAATAATAATAGTTCTGCGTCTCTAAAGTAACGCAGATGTACAGTGTAGAAGTCTGGAGTAAACATACAGCATGAATTTACAGTCAAACAGTTGTTCTGATCCTGAAAGTGCTCAGAACGAGACGATCAATCATCGATGTGTGAAACGAAAGCAGATGCGTCAGCTAAACAGGTTAACCACATCTTAACTTTGGTAAGCATAGACACTCAGATGTGAATCCTCCAGTCCCTTTGGCCTGAGCGAAAACAAGCAAACGGCATGAAACACCTCTATAGCCCAGCTATACTCCAATAAATATACAGAAGATCAGCGGCTCACAAAATATACAGGAATATCAGGAAAACGCTAAATCCTGGACCAAATCAATATTAACTCTTTCCCCACTAGCGTTTTTGAAAAAAGGTGCCAGCCACCGCCAGCGTTTTTGCAGATTTTCACTAAAATCTCACGGCCTCCAGAATATTTTGTTGTATGAATATCTGAACATGCAATACATCAAAATAAAGAACTCAGAAAATAAAAAAAATCCGTTTTATTCTAGCTTCAAGTTTTTTTATCAACACTTGAATGTTGGTAGGTTTCATAAAAAAGCAACATTTTGAGCAAAAAGCTGAGAAAATCTAATTTTTATCAAATACTACATCTGGATCATATTCAGTAATATTATCAAAGCAAAGCTGCAGTAGATGGCTTCCATCAGCGCTCCCAAAGCTTCACAGGCCTTTAACACTTTCTGGATCCACATTTCACTCAGGAACATTAGGCAGGTTTCATTTATACGCGGTTAGTGTTGATGATCGCATTGTTTTTCATATGCACATGCTTACATATGAGAGCGCTGGTTTCTGCGTCTTCCTGGTCTGTGTTTTTGATCGAGTGATTCTAGACTCATTCAGGAGATACGTAATAGCACCCCCTAGCGTTTAACAGCGAGAACACGGAAAATTCTGTGTTTGGCAGGGAATATACGTTATGAACAGAACTGTGATATTTCAAACATACTGAAATACTTTAGATGCGGAATGGTGTTTCTGATAACACACACACACACACACACACACACATACACACAC